CTGTCTCTGTCAAATAAATAAATAAAATCTTAAAAAAAAAAAAAAAGAAACATAAGCAATTTCTGTGTATTAATTTTGTATCCTGCAACTTTACTGAATTCATTTATTCTAATTTTTGGTGGAGTATTTAGAGTTTTGTATATATACTATCATGTCATCTGCAAATAGTTTAACTATTAACTAATAAATAGACAGTTTAACTTCTTCCTTACCAATTTGGATGTCTTTTATTTTTCTTGTCTGACTAGGACTTCCAATACTATGTTGAATGAATGTGGTGAGAGTGGGCTTCCTTGTCTTCTTCCTGGTCTTTCCACTTTTCACTATTGTGTATGATGTTAGCTATGGGTTTTTATATATATGGCCTTTATTATATTAAGATATATTCCATCTATACCCACTTTGCTGAGAGGTTTTATCACAAATGGATGTTGAATTTTGTCAAATGCTTTTCCTGCATCTATTGAGATAAATGATTTTTATCCTTCACTTTGTTAATGTGGTGTATCACATTGATTGGCAGACGTTGAATCATCCTTGCATCCATGGAATAAATCCCACTTGATCGTGGTGAATGATCCTTTTAATTTATTGTTGAGTCAAATTTACTAGTATTTTGTTGAGAATTCTGCAATTGTGTTTATCAGGAATACTGGTCTATAATTTTCTTTTTTGTAGTTTGTCTTCTTTTGATATCATGGTAATGCTGGGCTCATAGAATCTATCTGAATGTTTCCTTCCTCTTCTAGTTTTTGGAATAGTTTGAGAAGGATAGGTAATAACTCTTTCTCAAATGTTTGGTAGAATTCACCTCTGAAGCTGTCTGGTCCTGGACTTCTGTTTGTTGGGAGGTTTTTGACCGCTGATTCAATATTCAGTAATTAGCCTGTTCTCATTTTGTCTTCCTGATTTCAGTCTTGGAAGATGGTATGTTTCTAGGAATTTATCCATTTCTTCTAGGTTGTAAAATTGTCAGCCTATAATTGTCTCTTATAATCCTTTCTGTGGAGTTGGTTCTAACTGCTCTTTCATCTGATTTTGAGTCCATTTTCTTGATAAATCTGCCTAAACATTTATCAGTCTTGTTTATTTTTTTAAGAACTCTTAGTTTCATCTTTTATATTGTCCTTTTCTTCTCCATTTCACTTATTTCCACATTTTTATTTTTATTTTTTTTTAACATTACACAGTTATTTATTCAACTATAAAGACTGGCAATTTTTTAATGGGTAACACCTTATTTTAACACTAATTATATTGCTATAAGTGTGGTTGAGGATCAGAATAGGATTCAGGAACAAGGGAGAATAACAACAAAAATCTTCCAACATTGAAACAAAGAAATACTCCCCCCCCCCCTTATTTAAATGCTACTCTCCCATAGGTTTTTCTAGACTGGTCTGCAGTCTAAGGTGATAGGAAACAAGGCTTTGGGCATTCTGAAGAGACCACAGGTTAAGCTACGGTGCCAAGCAGGAGATGGAAACCCTGACTGATCTGAGTGTCAATCTCAGGCACGTTCTGGGAGCAGAGGCAGATTCTCAAACTTTTTCTGGTTTTTATTATTTCCTGCCTTCAACTATAGGCTTGTTTTGTTTTCTGTTCCTTTAGGGGTAAGGTTAGATCATTTGAGAATCTTGTTTCTTGAGGTAGGTCTGTATCACTATAAACTTCCCTCCTAGAACTGTGTTTATTGTGTCCCAAATATTTTGGAATTTGTATTTTGTCTCCACAATTTTTTTAAATTTACTCTTTGGTATCTTCATTGACCCATTGGTTGTTTAGTAGCATTTTTTAGCCTCCATGAGGGGTTTTTTTCCCCCAGTTTTTCTTTTAATTGATTTCTATTTTCATACCATTATGGTTGGAGAAGATGCTTGATATGATTTCAACTTCTTATATTTATTGAGACTTGTTTTGTGACCTAACATGTGATCTATCCTGGAGAATGTTCCATATGCACTTGAAAAGAATGTAGTCTGTTTTCAAATTTAATGTTCTGTAAGTATCTGTAAAGTCCATCTGATCTAATTTATCATTTACTCTTATTGATTTTTCTGTCTGGATGATCCATTGATGTGAGGGGGGGTGTCAGAGTCCCTCACTATTATCATATTACTATCAGTTTCTCCTTTTATGTCTTTTAATATTTGTCTTCTATATATTTAGGTGCTCCAATGTTGGGTGCAGATACGTATACTTGTTTATGTCATCTTGTTGGATTGACTCCTTTATCATCATGTAATGCCCTTGCCTGTTATTACAGTCTCTAAAGTCTACTTCATGTGATGTAAGTTTTGCTATCCTGGCTTTTTTTTTTGCTTTCATTTGCATGAAATATCTTTCTCCACCCCTTTACTTTTGGTTTCTCCCTTTAGGATTTGAAGTATGTCTCTTGTAGGCAGCATATAAATGGGTGTTTTTTTTCTTTTTTTAATCCATGCAGTCTCCTTATGTCTTTTGGAGCATTTAGTTTTTTTTCTTTTTTTTATTGGTAGTTATGTACTTATTACCATTTTTGCTAATTGCTTTCATAGTTCTGTTCCTTTCTCCTCTTATGAGTTTTTCTTATGCTTGGATTTTTTTTTTTAAATCTATCAGATTTTGGTTTTTGGACCATAGGGTGCTAAAGAGGAACCCCATGTATATAGCAGTCTATTTAAAGTTGATGGATGTTCACGATTGGACACATTTAAAAGTGTATTTTTTACTCCCCCCACCCCCATAATTTGACATTTTACATCCTTTCTCTTAACTGTTTTAGATATAGTTGATTTTACTACTTTTATCTTTTAAGTTTTATCCTAGGTTTATAAGTGATCTACTACCTTTACTAGGAGTTTGCTTTTACTAGTGAAATTTTTTTTCATAATTTTCTTCTTATAGCATTTTCTTTCCATTTAGCATTTCTTTGAAGGCCAATTTAATGGTGTTAAACTCTTTTGAGTCTTGTTTGTCTGGAAAACTCAAATTCACCTCAATTCTGAATGATAACCTTGCCAGGTTATTGTTATTGTTGATTGCCCCTAGTGTTTTTCATTTCGGTTATTGTACTCCTCAGCTCATTCTTTTATTTTTTACCCCTTTGTTGAAGTTCTGAGTTCATCTACTCTTCCAAGTTCTGTGAGCGCCTTTATGACCATTACTTTGTCAGGTAGATTGCTTATCTCCATTTTAATTTTTTGAGATTTTTGTCTTGTTCTTACATTTGGACCGTATCTCTTGGTCTCCTTTGGTCTGGCTGTGTTTGTTTCTATATACTATATAGGTCTGCTCCATGTTCTGGTTTGGGAGGTATCCATATGTTGGTGTCCTGTCAGGTCCGGAAACACAATTCCCCCATGGTTACCAGAATGAGGGGCTTTAGAGGTCTCCCCTGTGGGAGGGGCTGCATGTACCCTTCAGGTGTGACTACACTGACTTCCGTGGGCATGCTGAGGGGTGAGGCTAACTCCCAGTGAGGGTAGTTGCAAGGCCCTGCAGTGATTTTTGTAGATGTGCTGACAGGCAGGGCTACCTCCATCTCTGGGGCCAGAGGTACTTTAAAAGGGAGCCAGTAGTGACCAAGGCTTACTACCAGCTGTGGTGAGGTAATAGCTACTTTGGAGGGGCGCCTACTGAGAGGTGGGCTGGGTGGGTCAGATATATAGGGGAATGCCACGATTGGGCAAGAAAAATTGTGCCCTCAGTACTGCCCTTTCCAGAGACAGTTCCTACGGATCTGTGTCCGTCACTTGCCTTAAAATTAGTCAATAAATCTCCTTCACATATAACCTAGGTGCTTTTCAGAGTCCAGACTACTAGCCATTATACCACAGAACCCCTCTTAACCCAGGTGCTTTCAATATGCTGCTTCTGTGCTGGGTCTTGGACTGTTATAGCACACTGGCCCTTTAAAAGCAGGGACTTGGTTTCCTACATCTCTCCCAGTTAAATCCAGCTGATTTGCAAAGCCAGATGTTATGGGGGATTATCTTCCTGGTGCAGATTCCAAGGACAGGGAGGGCATGCCCAATGGGCTTGAACCACTTGTTCCTCAAGGAAAACCTCTGCACCTGTGATATCCTTTTCTGCCTGTGGGTTACTGCTAAGTGCTTTTCAAGCTTCTCTTTTTTCGCTGGGTTTCAGGGTGAGCCAAATTACATGCAAGCCCTCTAAGCAGTGATTTTGTTTCCTGTAGCACTTTGGCACCTCCTACAGGTCAGCCATGTTGGTTTTCCAGGCCAAATGTTCTGGTGGCTTGTCTCTCAGATGCAGACCCCAGGGTCTGGAGTGCCCAATGTAGGACACCAAGCCTCTGCTCCTCCTGAGGAAGCACCACTCTAGTGCGTTCTCTCCCTAATGTGTTGCCACACTGGGTTTTTGTGTTTTTTTGTTTTATTTTGAGGCTGTCTCTGCCTCTCCTACCTATCACAATGTGGTTTTTTTTATCTTTTGTTGTAGAGAGTTCATCTAGTTTTCAGACCTTTTTCAGAGGGAAATGGTCCATAGGTAGCAGTAGACTTGGAATGCTCATGGGAGGGGATGAATTCAGGATCTTTGTGTAACACCATCTTCCCAGCTGAATCTTAAAAATTAGCTGCTAAAGCACTTTTTGAATTAGATTAAGCCTTCAGTTGTTTAGTTGTACTTCATGATCAGATAACGTCAAAATTTAAAGTGGGATTGGAGGGCGCCTGGGTGGCTCAGTCGTTAAGCGTCTGCCTTCAGCTCAGGTCATGATCCCACAGTCCTGGGATCGAGTCCCACATCGGGCTCCCTGCTCGGCAGGAAGTCTGCTTCTCCCTCTCCCACTGCCCCTGCTTGTGTTCCCTCTCTCGCTGTGTCTCTCTCTGTCAAATAAATAAAATCTTTAAAAAAAAAAAAAATAAAGTGGGATTGGAGAAAGACCTGTCGGTATCAAGGTATAAGGCTAAATTTTTCACATTTCAAACAGCAACGTAATTAAGCTAAAAGGACTGCTGTCTACAATTAGCACTAAAACATAGCTAATAACATGTCAATCAACATTGTATTTAATAAGTTAATGAACAGCAAAACGAACAATATAGTCTTTAAATGTTTCGCTGAAACTCTCCATTTTGGCTTCATGTAATAAGGTATTTATAGAATATGTGTTCACATTTTATGTACCATTTAAACTGAAAGAGTTTTGTTAGCAGAAGAGGATGACAGAAAATAAACCTGACTCTACTTTTGAAAAACAAAAACCAAAAATCTACTCAACTCCCGACTTATAAATTATTGGGGTGGTTTCTACACTTCCTCTCAACATGCATACACTACAGCTAATTCACATCAAAGAAAGATGTTTAAATTATATGCAAAAACTGTATATTTTACCTTGCATCAGTGCTGACTCCTAAAGGGAGACCCTTGGCTCATGTCTTAGGGAAAGAAGACATGCTTTAATTCTGAGGACAGAATTCAGGAGACCAAAACCAACGTAAGCTTCAGAAGATATTAGAGCCAAAGATAGCCAGTGACTGAAATTATTCAGCGATAGACCCCCATTTCCCATGTGAAGGGAAGAGTAAATGATTCAGTATGGCTCCTTTAGTCATCTTGTACCTGTTGGGTTAGTGGCCTATGACCCAAAATCTATAGCATTTGCTGGGGAAAACGTAGGTGTCTAAGTTGATTGACCTCGTATACATCTTTGGAAACCAGGAAAGCAGTTTCCTGCTGTGGCTTGTTTTCTTGCATTTCCACACTAGCAGTCATTTTCAATCATTTGAAAAGAGTATGGTAATGCAGTGACTTAGTCAACACCACTTATTCCACCTAGTATTAGATGTACATGTCCACTGAGTATCTCACTGAAATTTTTAAAAACCGAGCATTTTCTTTTAATGCAGGACTTAAAATGACAATTACTATATGAACACAGTACTTAATGATTTGGAAAGATGAAAACTCAAACAACAAAACTGAAAAATTGGTAGGCAGCACCTAACGCACTCAATTAATGCTAACATTTCATTACCATATTGGTATTTTTGAAAAATAGGATTTCTATCTTAATCTACAGAAGAGCAGGTATAGCCCTGAGGCCACTCCTCACAGTGCTATGTGTTACTTACCCAGTGATAATGATTATTAGGTTTACTTTAACAGCTTGAAGCACTTGATACCTGTCCTGAAGTATACTTAAAGAATTCATGGAGTTGATTCTTAAGGAGCCTAGTCAGTCAATATCCTAAATCTTCAAAGCTCCCTTGAAATGTAACTTTCATAGTCCTTAAATTTTAATTGTCATTGTTTATTACTGTTTTGGCTACATTCTCTACAATTTCAGCAGCATCTTAAAGAGACAATGTGTCTATATGTACAATGAAACAAAATGGCTTGCAACATGAGAAATAAGAGCCACAGTTTAACTGTACAATATTAAGGAGAATCTGTGGTTATCACCTCCTTTTTCGGCAACATGGACAACTTACATTAACTATCAGCATTATGAATGTGACAAATAATTCTTACAGGAGTAAAATATAACATCCTGAAAAATAATGGTTTCTACCATACAAGGCAGTTAGAAAATGTTCACATTTTAACAAATCTGTACAAACCACAAGAAACTTATTTATGGGGACCATCATCTCACCTTTCTGATAAGAACCTTCTAGAAACGTAGGATAAACATGAACAATTTATAAATCTAGTTATCTATGTGCTCCCCAGCCCTAGAACCCAAGAATCTGATTTAGTGAACCCTATATGTCCAAGATGGATCATTTTTACATGCCTTGATTGTTAATGAATGCCAGCCTTTAATATCTCTCTATGACATATGTACAGTCAACTTGCACCTTTAAGGAGGTCATTAGATTTTTTAGCATAGAAGCAACATCATTTAGCAGCAATTAAAGCGCCTTCAAGAAGACTTAAAAAAAATACAATATCCAATTAGAAAAGCCATATTTTTAAACATTTGTACAAGAATAAGCTGCTGAAACTTGGTAACTGTAATACAACATCTGTACAACAATTTACAATAGAGCTAGAAGGGAATTTATCATTATCCTGCATAGAACTGGTCTGATCTGCATTTGGTTACATACTGTCACTTGTTTATGAACAAGGCCTGGTAACAAAGGGAAAATATCTTAATTCAATCATGTTGAAAACACCAGAGATATTGAGTGAATTCAACTGATTTTTTAAAACAAGCAGCTCATTTGTCAAAGGTGTAAAGTATCTAGAAATAACAGCTCTCCTGTTAATATGAGTAGTGGGGAAAAAAAAACAAAAACAAAAATGGACACGCCGTTTTGAGGTACAACTTGGTAAGAGCCAGAATAGGCAAGTGACAAAATCTAACTTTGTCCAAAGTCCAAAGATTCTCTCACATTCTATAAAACACAAATGTCATTCACTTCTTACTTTGGTTTCAGCAGATTAACTGCTGAATGCTGAAGAATGTATCCAGGCACTATAGTTCTTGTGTTAGAAATATTTTTTCCATGTGTTTTTAAATAATGAAAAACTACCCTTCATATTAGAACTCTCTAGTTAAACAACCAACTGTATTTAAGTATTATAAACGTTATTTACAGTGTTCCCCCAATTTTTCTTAACATGGTATTCCTGTTTCTGTGCAACAGTCATCCTTCACTGTTCAAGGTCATAGTCAAAAGTGTACATTTTATTCATGGTCCATGATCCACTCTCATACAAATGACGCTATGAAGAACTTCAGTTCACAAATAGTTTTCCACCATGTCTGTGTGAAAAAGGAAACAACAGAAGACAATCAAATGCTCTCAAACTCAAGTGTGTATCTGGAAGCAATTCAAAGATATCATGCCAATTTTGGAGGAAAATCAGTAAGTAATTATGCTTGAAGAAGGGGGTGTAGGGGATGCTGTAAGCCCAGCCATGTGTAAGTTTCCTGAAGAATTTGATCTTCTCATATGCGGGAGAAGGTATGGGTCATTTGCCAGTTGGTGCACATCAAACCGATCTTCTTTTCGGTAGGCCAGACAGCGTCTTATAAAGGCCTTAAAAAGGAAAAGTTCAGAAATTAAAATTTTTGCCCCTTCTAAACATCAGTCAGCTGACTCCCATAGAAGGATGAACACGTTTAAGATAGTAAGTATATTTCATTTCATTAGCATTCAGATCTTAAAATTCCATAGCAATAAAGTTCTTACTCCAAATTCAACTCAACTCACAGCCCTTAGTTCACTTTATAGTCTAAATGATTACTGCTACCATTTAAGGTACATTAAGGAAAGGTGCATCTCATTTTTTAAAAATTTTATTCCAAGAATAAAAATTAGCATTTTACTTCTTTTTGAGTGTACAATTCAGTGACATTTTAAGTATATTCACCTTGTTGTGAAACATCAAGATTATCCATCCCCACATCATTTTCATCATCCAAAACTTATCCAATATCCAAAACAAAAGTTGAAATTCTGTACCCATTAAACAACTCCTCACTCGTCCTTCAACCAGCACTTGGTAACCACTATTCTGTAAGTGGAATCATACAATATTTGTCCTTTTGTGTATAGCTTATTTCACTTAGCGTAATGTTTGAGTCATCCATGTAGTCACATGCATCAGAATTTAGTTTCTTTTTTAAGGCTGAATAATACTCCATTTCATGTATATACCACATTTTGTTTATCCATTTATCTGTCGATGGACATTTGCATTGTTTCTACCTTTTCGCTACTATGAATAATGCTGCTGTGAGCAATGGCATATAAATACCTGTTTGATCCCTGGACCTGCTGGATGACATGGTAATTATTTTTAAAAAATTGAAGTATAACTGACATATAACATTGTTTTAGGTGTACAACTTAATTTGATATTTGTATATTGCAAAGTGATGAGTACAATAAGACTAGTTAATATCACCACTGTTACAAAAATTTTTTTCTTTTGTTAAGATCTATTCATAGCAACTTTCAAGTATATAGTATTACCAATTCTGGTCACCATACTGTACATTACCTCCCTGGGATTTGTAACTGGAAGCTTGTACCTTTTACCCTCTTTGTCCATTTCGCTCATCTCCCACCCTCTGCCTCCCACTAGTCTGCTCTCCGTACTCATGAACTTGGGTTGTTTTGTTTTTTAATAAGATTCTACATATAAGTGAGATCATATGGTATCTTTCTCTGACTTATCTCACTTAGCGTAATGTGCTCAAGGTCTATCCATGTTGTTGCAACTGGCAAGATATCCTTTTTCATGGCTGAACAGTATTCCATTGTATATATACACATCTTCTTGAGCCATTCATCCACTGATGGACACTTAGTTGTTGCCATGTCTTGGCTACTGTCTCCCATCCAAGTACTAACCAGGCCCGACCCTGCTTAGCTTCCAAGATCAGACGAGATCGGGCGTGTTTGGGGTGGTATGGCCGTAGACTTGGCTACTGTAAATAATGCTGCAATGAACATGGTGGTACAGGTATGTTTTCCGATTAGTGTTTTCCTTTTCTTGGATAAATACACAGAAGCAGAATACTGGATCATAGGGTAAATTTTTAATTTTTTGAGGAACCTCTTTATTATTTTCCACGGTGGCCATACCAATTTACATTCCTACCAACAGTGCACAAGGGTTCCCTGTTCCCCACATCCTTGCCAACACTTATTTCTTTATTATTATTTTAAATAGTCATTCTAACAGGTATGAGGTGATATCTCACTGTGGTTTTTATTTTTTTAAAGTAGGCTCCACACCTAACATAGGGCTTAAACTCACAGTCCTGAGAGAGTTATGTGCTCTACCAACTGAGGCAGCCAGGTGACCCCTCACTATGATTTTGATTTGCATTTCCCTAATTAGTGACGATAAGCACCTTTTCATGTACCTGTTGGCCATATATTGTCTTTGGAGAAGTGTCTATTCAGATACTCTGCTCATTTTTAAATCAGATTTTCTTTTCTTTCTTTTTTAAAGTAGGCTCCATGCACAGTGTGGAGCCCAACATGAGGCTTGAACTAATGACCCTGAGGATGAGGACCTGAGCTGAGATCAAAAGCCAGAAACTTAACCAAATGAGCCATCCAGGTGCCCCTTGACTGTTTTTCTGCTATGGAGTTGTATAAGCTCTTCATATATTTTAAATATTAACCCCTTATCAGCTATGATTTGCAAATATTTTCTCCCATTTGGTAGGTTGCGCTTTCATTTTTTTGATGCTTTCTTTTGCTGGGCAGGTGGTTTGATGTAGTCCCACTTGTCTATTTTTGCTTTTGGTGTCAGATCCACAAATCCTCACCAAGACTTATGTCAAGGAGCTTAATGGCTGTATCTTCTTCCAGTTTATTGGCTTCAGGTCTTACATTCAAGACTTTCATCCATTTTTAGTTTATTTTCATGTATGGTTTTAAGACAGTGGTCCAGTTTTCCCAACATCATTTATTGAAGAGACTGTCCTTTTTCCACTCTATATTGGCTCTTTTGTAATCAACCATCTATGTATGCATGGGTTTGTTTCTGGGCTCTCTATTCTGTTCTACTGATTTGTCTTTTTATGCCAATATCATACTGTTTTGATTGCTACAGCTTTGAAATACAGTCAAAATCAAGGAGTTTGATGCTTCCAGCTTTGTTGTTCTTTCTCAAGACTGCTTTTGCTATTCAGTCTTTTGTGGTCTCATACAAATTTTAGGATTGAGTGACCCATTTTTGTGAAAAATGCCATTGGAATTTTGATAGGGAGTACATTCAATTTTTAGATTGCTTTGGGTAGTATAGACTTTTTAATATTCTTCTAATTCATGAGCAAGGAGTATCTTTCCATTTATTTGCATTGTCTTCAATACCTTTCACAATGTTTTAGTTTTCAGAGTACACATCTTTCACCTCCTTGGTTAAATTTATTCCTAGGTATTTTTTTTTGAAACACCTGTAAATAGGACTGATATTTTAATTTCTGATAGTTTATTAGTGTACAGAAATGCAACAGATTTTTGTATCCTGCAACTTTACTCAATTTGTTGACTAGTTCTATCAGTTTTGGGCGCAGTCTTTAGGGTTTTCTATATATAATGTCATTTGCAAATAGTGACCTTTTTACTTCTTCCTTTCCAACTTGGATGCCTTTTATTTCTGTTTCTTGCCTAACTGCTCGGCAAGAACTTGCAAATACGATGTTGAATACAGAAAGCTGCAGTTCTCCTTATATAATTCCAGACTTCTAGAATTTTTCTTCTGCTAAAACAACCCTCCCACCCTCATTCCATTTTACTGTGTACTTTGGCTAGAGGGTATGATGCCATTTTTTTGCCATATTTTTTTTTTCCTTTTTAGCATAATGAATTTCTTAAGATGATTTTTTTACTGAATTTTTTTTTTTACTGAGGTTTGTTTCCTAGGTTGATATTGTGTGTAAGTACTAGAAAAACTAAATAATGGAATATAATCAGTATCTTTTTTCCTTCTCAAACTGGTTCTTATATATTGTCCTTCAGACTCTGTATTAAAAAAAAGAAAATCTAACATAAGATGGTACACGAATCTTAAGTGTACTTAACAGCACACAAAGCGACTCTATGTAGCTGGCGACCAGAATGAGAATCTCCTAAATCTTTTCATGCCCTGCCCGTCTAGGCTTTGGCTCTGCCCCCGACCTAGCCAGATCCTCCCTATCCTGAACATCCACTGTAGTTGAGTTTTGGTTGCTCTGAACTTAAGTGGAATTACAGCTTATGTTCTCTTTTGCCTGGCTTCTTTCACTCTCTCTATATAAATAATATAGTATCGAATTTTTACAAGGGCTAACTGATCATTTCCTTTATTTACAGTAGAAATAACTTTAGCTTGTCTTGAAATTCCTAACTTCCACATATATTCACCAATTAAAAGCATTGCAGGAAAACTACAACTAAGATACATAACTTTAAAATCAAAGCTTAATCACATTAAAAAGTATTTTGCACCTTCTTTGTTTGACATTCATTTTAAGTAATTTTTTCTCTAAAAACAAACCTAGCTCTTCTTATCCTTATACCTTGGTTAGCTTACTAATATTTATCAAAAATCTTTCTGAATCCTTAGGTCTTAATCATCTTCAGAGTGGTCTTTGAAATTTAAGATGGAGGGGAAAAAAAAAATCAAGAGTGACTCATTTGTTAAAGGCAGAGTTTGAGAAGATGAAAAGCTGCTGACAGCGAGATGAGGAAGCCTACAAGGAGTAAATGTACTTAAGATGCCCACACCACCAGGTAGGTGGAGGTACTTGGTAAAGGTGTATTCTGTAAGGACGAGGTTTGAAAGGAAAAAAAAAAAAAAACCACATACAAAACCCCACAAAAAACAATGTGCCCCTCTGCCTCCCAGATCTGTGACTGTGGTGCCTATGAAGAGTTTAAGGCTAGAGCCAGAGAGGCCTAAATGGGACTTCTTTTTGGCACTATATACTCATTCCTGGTCATTTGTCAGTTAATTTACTTAGTTTTTGTTACCACTGATGCTGCAGATAGAAAAGGAAGACAAAATTTAGATGGTAGCATTGTCAAGTTCTTTTTAAGGAGCCATATTTACCTTACGAAAAAAATGTGTTCTTATTCTGAAGCATAATGAATTATCTTCTAAAAGTCATCCAAATAACTTGCTAAAGCCAATTAAGATGTAACAGACAAAATGAAATACCAGACCATTTGCGATTCACAAAAACCAGTACATTTTCAATTCTGAAGGTCACTATGACCTCAATCAGTGGCAATATCTTGCAGTGCCTATCTACATTCTAAAAATACAGAAACTATGTAATGCCTGCTTATAAATTATCTTTATGGCCTAGACTATTCATATGAGAAAAAAATGGGAACTTCATGTGTTTTTCTTAGGAATTTCATAGGGTTTAAAAAGATTCCAACAGGGATCACAGAGAAATGAGTTTTGTGATGAGTGTAACAAAGCAGGAGTGAAAATACAAATGTGAAAGGCCAAGAGGATGAAAATGGAAAGATATTAAGTACCATAAACATTTTGCTGTTAATTACAAATGCTATTCCATGTTACTAGACAGATGGATTAGAACTACAGGAAGCCATTCGTCATTGATTCATAGACTGCTACATGGAAGCAGAGGGGATGAAGAGGTCAGGCTTTCTCAAGAGCTACTGTAGGGCAGCATAAGGTCAACAGTGAACTCTGGAGTCTACCAGAGTGAAAACTTTGGGCCACAGCTCTGCTATTACTAGCCCATATGATTGTGCTATGGCTTCACTGGCTTCCTTATAAAATGGGAATAATGAAGATACTGATCTATACCTCATAAGGCTGTTAAAAGATAAAGTATCAACACAATGCTTGGCACATAATCACTAAATGGTAGTTATTATTACTACTTACTTCTTGTATACTTAAATATCCCAGTATTAACATAAGCTGATACATAAAACATAAAGGTCTTGTGATTTTTTTCCCTAATTTTCAAAGCAAACTGATGTGTATTTGGGTCTTTAAAAGATGAAAACCAAAGACCTAATGGGGAGATTTTACTGTGGCAGCAATCCCTTGTATTTTACTTACCAGTAAGTACAGCTGACCCTTGAACAATGTGGGGGGTTAGAGGCGCAGTTGAAAATCCAAATACAACTTTTGGCTCCCCAAAAACTAACTTAACTACAAACGGCCTAGTTAGTGTTGACTGGAAGACTTACCGATAACATAAACAGTCAAGTAATACATATTTTGTATGTTATACATATTATATGCTGTATTCTTTCAATAAACTAGAGAAAGGAAAATGTTAAGAAAATCTTGAGAAAATAATTTACAGTACTGTACTGTTAAAAAAAAAAAAATTCACAATAATGGACCTGTACAGTTCAAACCCATGTGGTTCAAAAGTCAACTGTACTTACTTTAAGCACAATTTACGAAATTTACTTCACAAAACCTATTTACATATATGTAATACCTTTGCTTCACTGCTTACAACTGGTTTTACAGGGAACTGGACTTCGGTGGCTTTTAATATTGTGTTTTCTTGAAGAATGTCTTGTTGTGATTGATTGTGACCAAATGGCTTAAAAAAAAAAAAAAAGTTTAGAAAACAGAGTAATTATCAGTGAATCCAAAATATAAATGATCTGTTCTAAAAAATCTTCTTAGTTATTGGTAACTTGGGATGCATTGTCATGGAAACAAGGTTATAAGACTGAGTAAACCCATCTAACCAATCCTCAACATAGCTTAAACATGGTGAATAGCACAGAAAATAATGCCGCTGCAACATATTTAAGATAAAATAAAAATACAAAAAAATCTAAAAATTATGACTGTTTAAAAAATGGAAATATGATTAAAGAAGCAGCAGTGGAAACATCTGTGAAAATTCCAAAGGATAAAATACTTTGAACATGGTACATCCTTCACTGACAGCTCTGGGTTTGTTCCTAACTTGAGGTTACTTCAAAAGGTTACTTCCCTTGAGAAGTCCCTTAACCCCTCTCTCCACACTGATGTATCTATGGCAGCTTGTAGCTCTGACTTCAAAATAAAGAGGTGTGGGAAGAGGTTTGGGAAGAATTAAGACTAAGTTTGATGGAATTTCCCTGAGGAAGCACAAGGGGACGCTATGCCCAGGCCAAACTGAGTATGCGGCAGGGGGTGTTAGGAGTGGGGGAGGTAATGTGAGCAAGTAGAGAGAATGGAGTGTTTTGGCTTGAGTATCCCTAAGAGCAGAAAATGTTAGCACAATTGATAATTTCTTCTTTTATTTGGGGGGGGGTGCAAAAAGCAGATCAAGAAAGCTGCTGTGACATTAAAATAATCTGATCCATGAAAATTTTAGCAAGGAACAAAGGCCTGGCTTTACTTAGAAGGATCTACACTGACTTCAAGTTAAACTTTACATTTACGAGGGAAAATTCAACTTCTCTCCACAGAGCAGAATCTTGCATACTTTAACTTACCTTTCTACCATAAAGACACTGAAAGAAAATGACGCCGACTGACCACACATCAACCTTGTTGGAAATCTTTGGTGGTTCTTTTCCAACTACAAAACACTCAGGAGGTAAATACCTACAGTTTTTTGGGGAGAAAAGAGGAAAGGATACTATTAGCAATCTGTAATTTAAGCCTTCTAAACATACCTTTAGAACACATACACAAAACCTTAGGACTTTCATGAATGAAAATCAAACTTTTGCAGCATTTACATCCTTTTATCATTTGACTCTAGAGCCAAAACATACAACTTCGTGATAAAGTATGCAACACATACGTATTATGTACGTGTATTATATATACTAACATTTTTCATTTCTGTAGTTAATATATTATCAGTAGAAATTATAATGTTCTAATTTAAGTAAGCAATTATAAATGATCTCCCATGCCCCTTCACCTGTGTTCAAACTGTAAGCAATTCTCTTCCTAAAACACATCTGACCAGCTGGTTCTTCTGTTTAGAAAACTGCAACATCATGCACTGCCAAGGTAAGCCCTCATAGCTCTTGTTTGTAACACAGACCCATTCTAATCTAGAAGCAACTGGCTCAGCAAAGACCATTCACTTGGTTCCCCACACTACCTCCCTGCCCCCGCATGCTTCTTAATATGATCATCTCTAATGCCTTCCTTAACCACTCCAATTCATTTGGTGAGTACCTTTTTTCTTAAGACCGAATGGACCTCTGTTCCCTCTAGGCTGAGTTTTGCTTCTTCCCCATGTAACCAGCAGATATTATGGTACCTCTGTTACGGCATTAAACTAAAATCACTCTAAACTATGAGCAAGCAGCGCAAGGAGCTCTTATCATTCACTGTGCAGTTTTTGAACCCTAGCAGCATCTGAAATATATAAAGTATTCAAAAATACCATTTTCTCTTTTTAAGTGCTATTTGTAAGTTCATAATTTTATATAAAGGATAGGTAAAAATAAATTTGTCACACCTTAGGTTTTAAATAAAAAGATCCAGCAGGGATGCAAGCATCTCCCACCTCTAAAATTTAGATAAACTAAAAAATCCTGGAAAGGAATAATACAGCTAAATGGGAATCTAATTCTTTTCCTTTAATTTTATACTATGCTTAAATCATTTAAATTTCAGCAAGATATGCACAGATTTCTTAAAAGGAAAAAAAACCAAACTTCTTGAAATAGAACCACCAAAGATGACCAATAACTCATTTGTAATGTAAATCCTTTCCTACCCCCAAATCAAGTAAAAAGCCAGATTTGTTTTATGAATAAAAGTGTATATTTTGTGTAGATTTATGAAACAAGAATGGCTCTTGAACACTATGCTACACTGTCTCTTGAGACAAAAAGCTGTAAGCAAGGAGAGGAATTGTAGGAAAGACACCAAAGCTATTTGGGATTTAGTGAATGACTGCATTTGAGACCTGAAAGGGAATGAGGGACAAAACTGATTTTCTTCTAAGTGATACAGTTTACATGTATTCCCGAAAGACCGTACAGGACATCCCAGTTTACCAAATATAAAGCTAAAAAAGCTACTATGACTATAGGAAATTAACCATTTTTCCAAAACATGTTTCTGTGGGAAATACATTCCAGGTTACTACATGGAAATGCTCTAGCCCACCTGTCAGAGGTAAATCTCCTTGCCCAGCCCTCCACAAGCAAAACCTGAGTGCGAGGGAAACAGTATATATAGTGGGAGTCTCTGCAGAGGAAGAACGATCTATTATTTAGAACTGTCTAAATCTATTATTTTAAGCTATCTTCCATGGAATCCAGAGCTCTATGAAGGAGACTTGTTTCTAAAAGTCTGAAGACTACTGATGGAGGATACCAACTTTTAGGGGGTTACTAGTTTGACAATTTTCTTTAAATATGGGCTGAAAAATCCATGATCTATTATCTTACTCATATTCCTAGAAAATGCTACAAGCAGAATTTGAAAGTAAAATGGCTTTAAAAGAACACATGAACATGACTAATCCCTGTTCATGAAAAGTTAAGTTCATACAGACCAAGGGCATCTTGTGGAACTGGTTATTATGTGCCTAGACTGTGTGAAGACTGTTCCAGAAACCCTAATGTCACATTTATGTTTGTAGTCTCCATCTTGTTCAATAAAGTTGAGTACAGTTATCTCTCCAATTACAATCTTACTCCTTTTGCTAAACTAAGTTTGTTTTGAAATTTTATAGTCTATATTCTCTACTTCAAGTGAATTTGACAGTAAGTTTGAAAATTCACACTGAAGTGATTTTTGTCAACACCTAGGTACTCTGAAGGGAATGACATTCATTCAGACTTAGACCTGTGAATCTACAGTTCTATCTAGAGTCTGTATGTATGAAGTTATGAAAAGGGATTTCTGAGAGCCAAGTCCAAAGACTAGGAATATTCCAAATTTCTTTCCCATGCATGATCAACAAAACCTCCATCTCCAATATAAACTGCCACCACAGAACCTCTACAGAGAGGACGTCATGCTTATGGCTACTGCTTGTAATAGGATGTTATCGTCATACAAGTATTTTTACTGATGATAAACATCACTTGAACATACAGAAGAAAATCCATGATTCTCCATGTAAGGAGTTCCTGGCTAATAGACAAGTCACTTGCCAATGCCAAGTTCTTCTCCCTTCACGTAACTGTAAATGTCAGCAAAGATCTGACGAGAAAAGAAGACTGACAACAGTAATCTCCCTCTTGACTCAAACTTCATATTAGTACCCTCACCACTGTAATCTCAAAGATACATGAAAATAAAAACTAAACTCATAAAAAGTCATCTAGACAATTTCAATATTTTAAATTATGCATTTACCAGTAAGTGCCTGCCCCCTGAGAAGTTAGATCCATTCCATCTACACCATAGCTATCATCATCCATGATCTTGGACAGACCAAAATCAGTGATTTTGATTTCTCCACATGCTGTGCCATCTACCAGAAGGATGTTTCCTAAGAACAAAATATAGTTTTTTTTTTTTTAATGATACATAGATGAAAAGCATTATATTTACTACTTTAGCTGACACTGGGGGAATAGATATATACTTAAAAAATGTAAATTTAAAATATAATTTTAAAATGTGATTCAATGGGCATTTTACATTCTTCTAGTATTCCATTGACTTTAATAAACTACACCAAAAAGCAGGTTTTCAGATATGACTTTTAAAAACTACAGTCTTTCGAACTTAAAAAAATTTAGACAAATTTTATTAATTACCTGGCTTAAGATCATAATGTATAATAGGGGGTTTGATTTCATTGAGATATCTTAGTGCATTTACAATTTGCATTACAATAGACCTAGCTTCCTTCTCTGACATTAATTTATGTTGCTTCAGATAGAAATCCAAGTCATTGCCTTCACAGTACTCTAATACTGTACAAAACCTACAATGAAGAAGAGAAAAAATTAGACCTAAAACATTATCCAATAATCCCTATCACAGTGATGAAATGAAGAGTATATCATCATTACAGAATAAGGAAAGCAAAAGCAAACATTTTTTCTTAAATATAAATCCTTATATTCACTTACGTATCTGTATCCAAGGAGAAATAATCATAGAGTTTAACTATCCTAGGGTGATCCAGTTCTTTGTGTATTCTATACTCTCTGCAGGCATGTCTACAGGAAGAGAGAGTATATTTATTCTCCATGACTATTAAATGTATTTTCACTTGATAAAAACCAGAAAGTATTACTATTTACTTGTGGTAGTTTTCCTTCTTCTCATCCCTCCAGCTTTTATTAAGCTGGTGGATCTTCACAGCAGCGTATCTTTGTTCATAGAGGTCAAAAGCCTAGGATTCAAGGCATAGAAGAGTTAGGACCAAAGACCAACTGAATAGCTAAAGAGATTTAAAAAACTAATTTGGTGATAATTTTTATAGCAGTATGAAATTAGAATATACACTACAGTTTTTGGTGATCATCTCTGCTATGATTATATATAGTTTAACAACACATTTATTATTGGGAACAAGATACAAATTCCATCGTATATATCAGAGAAAACTTTAATGTGAATTTTCACATTCAGGTTTCATAAATGCCAATATACTGAATCAAGATAAAACAATAAAGCTGTTATTTTTTTTTAATATGGATCTGGCTCCTCTACAGTGGCAAAAGCAGTAAGCAGCCAACAAAGAGATGGCTTTAGTGTGTTTTTTATGGGCTGGATAAAGCAAAACTTTTTCCTCTACCTTTCCTAGCGACTCCCCACTTCTTTAAACAAGTTCGTAATGATTTCCAACTGTTTAAAAAATTCTAAACTGTAAACTTTGATTATGAAACTGTTCAAACATAACCATATGTCATTATCACACCTAACTACATCAATAATAATTCCTTAAAATCTCTTTAAATATCCAACTTGTCTTCAATTTTTACGGTTGTCTCAAAGAGGTTTTATACTGGTTTGTCTGAATCATCAGCCTATTTCTTACATAAAAAAATTAAGAATGATCAGTATTCCTTTTAAGGTGTCAGGTAATTTACAAATTAAAAAGAAAACATTTGTCATTTAAGAGAGATCTAGTAATTTGGGTTTGGCTGTGATTTACAGACAAAGGTGCCCCTTTAAAAAAAAACAAAACAAAAAACAACACTGAAAATTTACATATTAGAAAGAAGGTCCCCAGTCTCTACTCCCCCCCATCAACTGGTAACCTAAAAATAAACAAGAAAGGTAAACTGTCACAAAATTATAAAAGCCTAAGATCAGAAATGATACAGGATGCAGTAGTTAAGAATATTCATTTTGCAGTCAGATAAACTTATTAGCTACAGAACTCTGTGCTAATACCCTCTCTTAGCCTCAGTCTCATTTATAAAGTTTGGGTTGCTGAGAGGATTAAATGGGGTAAAACACATAAAGTGTTAAACATTAGCTAATTACATTATTAAAAGCTTAAAGAGAAAAGATTAAAAAGTTCATGTGAGAATGCAAAAAAGCATAAAGGATAATAGAAAATAAAATTTTAAGTGCACTAATAAAAATTATCAATATATATTGACTTATATACGACACATCTTTCTCCCAAGATTAGGTGAGTAAAGTATACCCTTCCCATAAGGCTAAAATGGTCAATTACCGAGCAAGTGATTCAATATTTTCCACCTTGGTGTAGATAAAAGTCTGTATTTTTTTGACTCACAATCTGTTTTGTTTCCCAGTGGACCTGGTAACTATGAAAATTTTTTTAAGGAGTTGGAGAAAGTGGTCTTTAGTATTTAGGTCAGTACTGAACAAAGTTATTAGGCTCCAATCTGCATTTTCTATTTCCTATATAAGCCCTTTCTTCAAAAAGAGAAGCCCCTCTTAGCAGTTATCTGTGATATTAGAAACAGTGCAAATACTATAGGGCAGTGGCAGAAGGCTGTCATGAAAGGTCATGACAAAAAGCTCAGAAGCTGGGCAACTAACTTTAAGGCTGATTGAGTGCTAACTACTTTTGGTGATTTTTAGATCCAGAGTGAGCCATGCCATTATGATCTTTTCTAGTTTGTGGCCTGAGTAAGCCTCCCTGAACCATTAAGTGCTTGAAAAGGAACTAGTAGTCGAATCAGAGACCCAGGAATTGGAAGAGAGCTCACAGATCACTCCTAATGGGTGAGGAAGGTTAGACCCATGATGTTTAATGCCTGTCCAACTTAACAAAAACAAAATGGTTCACAGTTGAACGAAGATCAGAACTGAAGTTTTCTGAATACAAGTCCCATTATTTTTTCCCAGAGTCAGAATTAGAATCCAGGTTTGTCTTCAGTAAACTAAGAAGGCACAGTCCTTGCCTCATTGAACAGAGAGGATTTCTAAAAATAGTCTGATGAGCTTACATTTGCTAAGCACCAATGTTCCTGTGATACAGTTCATCTAATCATTACAGCAACCCGGGGCGCCTGGGTGGCTCAGTTGGTTGAGTGTCTGACTCTTGGATTCAGCTCAGGTCGAGATCTCAGGGTCCTGGGATTGAGCCCTGCGAAGGGCTCTGTGCTCAGCATCGAGTTTCTCTCTCCCTCTGTCCCTCCCCACTGCTCTCTCTCCCTCTCTCAAAAATAAGTAAATAAATCTTAAAAAAAAAAATCATTACAACAATCCTATGATGTAGGCACTGTTACTATTTTCAAAAAAAAAAAAGAGGGAGAGGATGATAAGTCATAAGCCCGAGTATATACAGTTAGTAAACAGTAGTCAGTACTAGTTAGTATTCAAACCTAGCCTATCTGGCTTTAGAACCCAAGCTCATGACAAAACAAAGCACAAAGTGTCAACAAGGAGCTATAAAAGGGAGACCAACAGGGAAGTCTTCTACAGGAATTAAATTTAAGGTGAGGGCTCTGGAAAACAGTATGGAGGTTCCTCAAAAAGTTGAAAATAGAGCTACCATATGATCCAGCAATTGCACTGCTGGGTATTTACCCCAAGGGTACAAATGTAGGGATCCGAAGGGGTACGTGCACCCCGATGTTTATAGCAGCAATGTCCACAATAGCCAAACTGTGGAAAGAGCCAAGATGTCCATCAAGAGATGAATGGATAAAGAAGATGTGGTATATATATACAATGGAATATTATGCAGCCATCAAAAGGAATGAGATCTTGCCATTTGCAACGACGTGGATGGAACTGGAGGGTGTTATGCTGAATGAAATAAGTCAATCAGAGAAAGACATATATCATATGACCTCACTGATATGAGGAATTCTTAATCTCAGGAAACAAACTGAGGGTTGCTGGAGTGGTGGGGGGTGGGAGGGATGGGGTGGCTGGGTGATAGACATTGGGGAGGGTATGTGCTATGGCGAGTGCTGTGAATTGTGCAAGACTGTTGAATCACAGATCTGTACCTCTGAAACAAATAATGCAATATATGTTAAGGAAAAAACAAAAAAAGCAGGAGGGGAAGAATGAAGGGGGGGAAATCGGAGGGGGAGATGAACCATGAGAGAGGACAGGCTCTGAAAAACAAACTGAAGGTTCTAGAGGGGAGGGGGTGGGGGGATGGGTTAGCCTGGTGATGGGTATTAAAGAGGGCACGTTCTGCGTGGAGCACTGGGTGTTATGCACAAACAATGAATTATGGAACACTACATCAAAAACTAATGATGTGATGTATGGTGATTAACATAACAATAAAAAAATTTAAAGAAAAAAAAATTTAAGGTGAGGGTACAACCTTTAATAAGACTTCATCCTAACTAAGAGCAAATGGGAAGCCCCTGGGGCTCACAAGCAGGAGAGTGAGATGATCAGACTGCATTTTATAAAAAGGCCACTCCAGCTGCAGCATACATCAATAAACTGGAGAAACTCAATGAGCCCTAAAGAAGGTGATTAGCTAGGAGGCTCAGGGAGCAATGCAAATAAGAGGCAAGGAGGCCTTAAGCTAAGAAAGAGAGGGGAAGGGTCATTGCTGGACTTAAGAGAGTTTAATGATATAAGTTAGCAGTGGGCACCAGGGACTGGTTTTATGTTGAGGAAAGGAAGTTACGGAAAAGGTGGAGCAAAGGATGGCCTTAGGTTTTTCACTTGAGGGAATGGGCAGATGGATGTATTGCTGTGGGAAGCAGCAGTGTTAGAATAAAAAGTTTTGGAGAAGAGGAAGATAACTTGTGTGTCAGACCTGAGTTTGTACGCATATGAAGCATCCATGTGAGGTAAAAAGACTAAGTCATGTATACCAACAGGTATGGAGCTCAGAAGGAAAGTGTAGGATGGGTATTATGTACACTGCTACAATAATGGCTTTTTTTTAAGAGTGAAAACCCTCTTTGGATTTCTTTCAGTTAGGAAAAACAGGCACTAATGTAGGTCTTTCGTAAAAAAGTGAAGAGGCCTCACACAAACTTTGTAAAGCAGGGGATACACTTCCCTTTACGCCATTTTGGCTTACAAAAGGTCTCACTGGAATGCTCTACTTATGGATAGCTGGGGAAACCTGTATTTGAAAAGGAGACTACAGAATGATAAAAGACCTTAAGAACAATTTTTTTTAAGATTTATTTATTTACTTGAGAGACAGTGCGTGAGTTGGGGGGGGAGGAGCAGAGGGAGAGGGACAAGGAGACTCCCTGCTGAACATTAAGCCCAACCCCATGACCCTGAGATTATGACCTTGAGCAGAAATCAAAAGTCCAACACTTAACGGACTAAGCCACTCAGGCGCCCCAGGAACTACACAATTTAAAGGCTGGGCAGAAAGATACAATGTAAAGTGAAAAAAGAGAAGGTACAAAACACTGAACATGGTGACTAAAAATTTTTCTACATTTATACAGGTGCATTTAAGAAACACTGACCTTAAAATAGGTAGAGATTTGGATAAATTCAAGACATGTAAGGCTTGTGACACATGTTTAAATTAAGGGGTACAATCTTTCCATAGATGTACTATATTAAATGGCTACTTGCCTCTCTTGATTGTAATGACAGTTACTTGTATCGGACTGGCTGCTAGTAACGAGGTACCAGGTATCAGTGTGATGCAAGGATAGTCTCCACTCGAGATAAGACAACATAAGCCATCAGGCTCTTTTGTAATGAGAGTAGGGACATAAAAATCAGTCAAAAAAATCATAAAATGAATCAATAAAAGACAAGTACTTCTTAACCATGTACTCCTATATCTTTGCTATTTTAGTGTAAGAACAGAAAAAAAGTCTGTATTACCTTATACACTTCACTAAAGCCACCTCTACCAAGCAGATGAAGTAACAAATATCTTTCATTTAACGTTGGGTGATCTTTGAACCTTAAGGTGGGAGAAAAAGACACTTAGGCACATAAAAAAACATACAAAAAGGGTCCTTCCACAATAAAGTTCCACTCTGTCTTCTACTTCGAGCTATTTCTTTCTCAGTTACTCTTCTGCTAATTTTGAGTTCCATCTTATACTGCTTTTCGTTCTCCACCTGCATGACTATTTTCAATCTGAACTCTCTGGTGTTCACTAAACTTAACATTTAGCTGAACATTCAGGTTCAATAACCAATAGCACTCTGATAAAGACTTACCAACTACTGTATTTCTAAGAGCTTTATGAAATCCCACAACTACTCAGTAGGAATTATTTCCCATGGAAAAATATACTTTTATATTGGGAGTACGGTTAAACAAGATTTTACAGTAGTACTGACATGTGATTAAAAATAATTATATGTATAAATTGGCCTTCATACATGATTAAATTTTACTCTTTGAACTTCTATAAATAAAATTTCAATTCCCAATTAAAAAACGAAAGCTTTAAAAAGAAACTTAGAAAATCTCTCACAGATAATACTCATTACTATGTAACATTTATTGCTCCTGCTATATATTAAGCATTCATATGTATTAACTCATTTATTTCTCAGCGAACCATATGAAGTAGGCCTTGCTACTATCTCTTATTTTACAGATGAGGGCACCACTGCACAGAAAAGTTAAGTAACTTGCTCAGGTCAACAGTTAATACATGACAGGGCTTAGCGGAAAAACGTGATTCCAAAATGTGCACTCTTGAAATAAAACAAAAACAACAAGAAAAACGATGATAGCTTTATTAATTCCAGGTATAAATATATTTTATTATTTTATTCAAAATCAATCAGATATAGCTTTGACAATTTCTTTTCTTGAAGAACTTGTTAATAAAAGAGGTTTCTGCTAAGTTTTTGTTTTTGCTTTAAAGTAAACTCTACCCCCAATGTGAGGTTTGAACTTACAACCCAAGATCAAGAGTCGCAAGCTCTACTGACTGAGCCAGCCAGGTGCTCCTCTGTTTACTTTCAAAGTGAAATGTAAAGCTATAACAATTCACTTAATTTTCATCAAGTGGACTAAGTCATATCCACAAATAAGTTTGAACATAATTTTCAGAAGAGACAACTGTAAATTAGTTTTGTCCTATCCCCTTAATTAGAATTTTCATCTGGTACATTTTGGGTTATTCCATAAATATATTATTTCATTCACCTTACGCACAGGAAAGATCTGTATATTTATGAATTATACATACACAAATGATCATGAATAGGCCCTCTTTTAAGCAAGATATTTATAGTTCATAAGAGAAACCGGCCATTTCCAATTGCGACATTCATACTAGGTCATGAAGCTTTAAATGACACGTCTTATAAAATATAAGATGACACTCTTCCTCCCCTTTACATCAATTAAATCCAAGTAGCGCCTTGCTTAATTTGTCTTCTTCATAAAGCTCCCACCAGTCCTCAGTTATTTTCTCCTCTTTCGAGTTCCTTTAGCATTTAGTATCTATAGCATTCATTGGATAAGCATGGATAAGGACAGAGGCTATAACTTAAACTTCTATTTCTTCTACAGTTTTCGCATAAATCTTGTTAGTTGAAATAATTTCAACTGTGGCTTACTGAACTACTGCTAGCTGAAATAATTTCTCCTTCACTATTGTAATAGTAACTTTGGTATTCAGTCAATAAATATTTATTTTGGGCCCAGCATGTGCCAGGCGCTGGTCTAGGCTCTGGGGATATAGCAAAAATAAAACTAAGTCTGTGCTCTCGTGTAGCTTACATTCTAATGTGAGGAGATAGACAATAATAACTGAAAAATAAATCTGTAATTCCAGGTAGTGATAAATGCTATGAAAAAATAAAGCAAGGCAAGGATACTGAGAGAAGGGATGGAGTGAGGCAAAGACTTCTATCTTATACAGGGTGGCCTAAGGACAGCCTCTCTAATGACTATTTGGAGTGAAATAAGGAATAAGCCACATAGATATTTAGAGGAAGAACACTTCAGGCAGAGGAAATGGCCAGCACAAAAGTCCAGAGATGGGAATGTGCTGAATAAACATGTTGGAGGAGGCCGGCTTGTGTACAAGATATAAATGAGGGGAGGATGACAGAGATGGGGGTGGTGAGGTGGTCAAGGACCAGATCATACAAGGCCTTCTGAAAATATGGGAAGGACTTTGGATCTTTTTCTAAGTGTTCTGAGAAGCCCCCCAACATGGAAATACGTGTTTATGCTCTCCACAGGAGATAAAAAACTTTTTATCACAGAAAACTGTAAAATATGAATAATGACTTACTGTGAATTATCTTCATTATTTATTCTTTTGAGCTCTCGAATGTGAAGATTTCTGACTCTTTCCAAACGTTCAAGTTCTGCCTGGATTTCTGCCTCTTCCTGAAAATGAAGAGAGGGGACTATAACAAGCTCAATTTATTTGCAATATAAAAAGAGATATTTTTACCCATGCATCAATTTTTCACAGTGACGGGAAGAATAGTATGTTATAAAGTACCACTGAGTTAAAAGACCAAAGTGCACTTTTCAATGCCTGAAAGATGGAAAGAGATAAGGCAAAAGCCTATTTCAAGAAACCATCCTCCACATAAAAATCTATACCTAATGAGATGCTGAGTTTTATTCTGTACTACAAGAAATCTATTTTTATAATATTTAAACTGAAAATGACTGCAAGGTAGTTGAGGCTGACTTATAATACAAAATGAGATGAAAGTTTTATTTCTGGTACATCCCAATTTTAAGAGGGAATAATTTAATAATACAAAACAAATGAAGGTACTTTACAATATTCAAAAAAGGAAGAAAGGAAGAAGACAGAACCACTGATTATTTCTAGATCTTACAATGTCTGAAATACACAAACACACACACATACAATCTGACCACTCAGGATAAATCCCACTGTTTTAGAGACTCTAAAACAAAAATTATATGGATAGCTGTAGTAGATCCTCAGTTATCAGAGCAGCTCTAGGCAAATCCTAAAGAAATTTAACATTTTATATAAAAATTTTGTAATAAATATTGAAAATAAATATTGAAAATAAATATTTTTCAGGTCTCAAAATACACAATTTTGAGAACATTTTAGAATCAGATCCCAAATAAACAACCACCCATCTTATACATCTCTTTGATTTGTCAATATAAATTTGAATACTACATAAGGAACAGCTAAGGATATATCAAATTTCGGTGAAAAATTCTAGAAATGCCCAATGTTATATTTCTGAATATTTGTTGACTAAACAACAAATACAAATTGCCTTGGCCTAAATGTGTAGCTACTACCATTATAAATGTATATTAAATGGAATAGAGGTTGTTTTTGAATATTACACTTAAACATACCTGTATTATATTAGCTCCTTTTATTTTAATGATTTATCTTTGATTTAAAAAATCCTTTATCTAAAAAATAATTCTGAAGTTTACTTTGAAGATATAAATAACATTTCATTCCAAAGCAGATAATAAGAGGTATAAAGGGTATAACACCTTTATCTAAGGCTTAAACTGAAAGGAATATTCTAAGTATGATAAAGAAAAACAAATGTTCACATAATAAAAAAAAAACTAAATCTAAGTATGTTGTTTGCATTCCACTTGACCCTTAAGGTAAAAAAAAAAATTTTAAAATGAAACTCAACCACTACTTGTTGCAGAGATAGTTAATATGGAGTAGGCATTAGATGATAAATAGAAACTTTCACAGTAAATTTACACGAAGATAAACCTTTCTAGAATTTTGGGGAGCTTTTTTTTTTTTAAATACATAGACTAAACAAACTGTCTTAATTTAACTGAAATTTCTTTATACAGCTTCAGTCATAAATATTTATTTTAATGAAAAAAGTAAAGGTAATAAATACTCTAGGGGATTAAATAATTGAAGATTCATTATAAGGACAGGAAATAGATTAAAAACCTTTTGAAATGAGACTCAAATCACAGCTTAGTTGTCTTAATTTATAAAAACATACAAAGTAGAATAAGAAACTGGCTATATAGGTATGTCCATGAGTATGAAAAAAATTCAAATTCATTTATACCACAGAACATAGAAAGTGGTAACCTCTTCTTTCCATATTACTAACATTTGTGGTCTTAAAACTTGTGATTCTTATACTTGTAGGAAGCTACTGAACACTTGGTAGGCTGGTGAAATTTTAAATATCCAATAAAACTGCGAAATGTCTATTAGGATACCTACTGAAATAACTTTTAACTTTTATTTGAAATTGTAGTATGGGGATACTATTTCAAAAGAGTATTTACAGAAATTAAATTTTACTGAGTAAATAAATATATTTTATGAGATTCAACTAGACTGCTGATACAGTTACATTTGCTTATCTTCAGAGGTCTATAGAATGGCAGTAACCAATATTGCAAAATAAATACTTATTAAAGAAAGTAAAATGTAGATCTGTGTCAGTTAAGCAAACTTTTTTTGCCCTCTATAAAACATGGCAGATATGTCCCATAAAATCTTACAATCTAAAAGCATAGGCAAGCTGCATTTGGTTTGAATTATAAAGTTTACAGGAAAAAACAAAAGTCAGAAGCACTAAGAAAAAAAAGAAAAAATTGGATCCTCTGTATTTAAGAGGAAATGTCAAGTAAAGGAACTAGAACCAAGTCTCTTTTTTTAATAACCAAGTCTTATATACCGATAGATATAACTCTTTCATAGTCAGTGAAACATATTTACATCTTCCATATTGTAATTTATTATTTATTTCACACATCTTGGACTTTAAATCAAAGTGACACACTTCTGGGGGAAAGATAATTCTGCAACTCTTAAATCCCACTGGGGGGGGGGAGTATACATACTCTTATGGACTGAAGGTTTGTGTTCCCCCAAAATTCATATGTTTAAGCCCTAAACCTCAATGTGATGGTATTTGAAGATGGGGCCTTTGGGAATTAGATTAGGTCATGACGGTGGGACCCTCATGACGGGATTAGTGGCTTTATATGGAGGAAGAGAGAGAGAGAGATCATCTTGCCCACTCTGTCCCCTCTTTGTGGGAGCACAGAGAATAGGACATGTGAGAAGGCAGCCATCTAAAACCAGGAAGAAACAGATCCTCACAAGAAACTGAACCCTGCTGGATGGACCCTGATCTTAGATTTCCACCTTCCAGATGGTGAGAAAATTAATTTCTGTTAAAGACACCTAGTCTATGGTATTTTGTTATGGCAGCCCAAGCAGATTAATAACATACTTTCAGGCAAATTTTAGGATGATACGGCCTAGTACCCTTTCTTTACATAAAGGGGCAAAGCCCAGTTTTGGTATGGCCCCAGGGTACAATAGCCTAGAACACAGTAGTTTCATCCACTGATTTATATTTAGTGCAGTCATTTCCAAAGATCTATCCAGTAGACTATCCTCTCCTTGGCTTGAGATAAACATTAATCTCTGGGCTGTCCTCAGAATTAATCATTTTCAGAGGGCTCAGGAGAAGCAAGTATGACCCAGGCTCACAACTGACCTGAGTTCATTATAGAATGGAATCCTCAAACCCATGGCAAAACTAGGCCAGATTACTAAAATACAAGAGATAATCCAACTAGAATAATATCAACTTTTAATCCTTGAGTCATCCACCAGCTGAGCAGTTAAAGCAGAGGTCTAGAAGAAACGAGTTAAGAATAGACTTTTAGAGAGAGAGATAGGTTTGGTGATCACACACAGTAAAAGGACACAGTTCTTTTCTGTTCAAACAGAAAGGTACAGCAATGGACAATTTAACAGTATATACTACAGCTATTTTAACAGTATTTTATAATAAGATCTTAATATTCTGAATTAAAAACCAAGTCATACAAGTATACAACAACAGATCTCAATACTGCCTCACTGTTAAACCTGCAAAACATACCACCTTCCAAAAATTTTAACTTTAAAAAATTTATATGAAAGGCAAATTCCACAGCAACTTAACCAAAACAATTTGTCCTTCAGCAGAAGTTTGACATAGAAATGCTTTCTGTTTGTAAGCAAAGTTTTTCTGGCAACCTAATATCCCCTTGGCTCAACTTTCTAAGCCAAAAGTCAGTTAACAGTAATACAGAATCTCTAAAATGCCAGGTAGAAACTGCTAGGTCGATTTTTGTGCATTTCCCATAATGGCGATTTTTAAAACACAGCAATTACTAAAAGAAAGGTGGGTCTGTAGGCATTAAAGCTATAAAGCTTGAGTTATAAAATGCATTTTCACATGTAAAAATGATACATATCCTGAAAAAATTAAACATACTAGTTTAAATTTCTTTAATAAATCTTGAGTATGTTACATGTTATATTCACAAAAACCCCTCAATTTTGAAGAGCTGCTTTTCTATAAAGTCAAGATAAGATAGAAAGTATTTTGATATATCATTCTCAGCTTGCCTATAACCAATGAGAGTTGGTAAAAAAGAAATTCTGTATATTGAAGATGGAAGAAGAAGAGAAAAGCATATCACTTTGAACAGCCTATTGAATAGCACTATAACATTACTTGGTCTAGGAAAACTAGTTCAGAATGAGGTTTCAAAAAGTTTAACTCCAAATTCATTTTAGTAATATGAACAATATTAATCCCTCAAAACCTGGTATCCGCAGGTCCTCAAATCTTTAATTTCATAAACTATAATGTCATTCTAAAAGTTTATCACCAGGAAAGTGAAAGGTGAAATTAATGAAGGCACTATTAAAAGCTAATGGAAAGGAAGGGCAGTGCAGAAAAAAAGAATTAAGAAGAAAATCATTAACAATTTACTTCACCTTTAACCCTGTTATATGCCCCCAGATTATTTCTATTATATGCTTTCAAATATTTTAAATTTGGATATGAGAGATATGAACCACTGGAAATATGAACCAACCAACAAACCAAAAAAACCACATAGATAAAGCAAGTCTGAACTTCCGGAGATCAGTTTTGAAACTATTGCCCAGAACCCTGTTTTTGCTTGAGTATGATTATGTAGATTGAAAACTGGGTAGGAGGAGGAGAGGGGACAAAAATTATGAAATTCCTGGGGTGGGGGGAGAGGGGTTTATTCCTAACTACATAAATGCTCCCTCCACTCCCCTCCCCAATCACTGAGCTGGTTATTACTGATGGGAGCATACTGTATCTCCCTCAGATGTATTTCAGTGGCTTAGATAATTATTTTAGAACCTTAATGTTTTCTCTACACTTCATTTCTTCCTTTTTTAGGAGGAGGGTGTGGGGTGTGGAGGTGGGGGTGGTATTTTATTCTCTCTTCAAATGCATAAATATCTACATTAAAACCCCTGGGAATAACTGTTAAAATAGGCAGGTTTTGATTCTGTCATTTCCTCCATTCTATTTAAACAAGACAAAAGAAAACCC